GGCTAGCCAACCAATCCTCTATTAGTGAATAAAATAAAGGGTTTAAGTTCTGTAACCGGAGTACAAAACGATAAATTTAACACCGTATAAAAGCAGGTGAAAGCACTTACTGACATTTCGTACGTGTAAACAGCCCTGCGATTGTTGCGTCGATCGAACATCGCCGCGAAGTTGCAGCTAAATTTCAAGCATGTTCGAAACTCAGGCGATTTTCGCGCGACAGAGAGTTTTAGCAGACAGAGAGTTTTAGCATCACGTTGACGGCAAACGGCTAGCCAACCAATCATCTATTAGTGAAAAAAAATAAAGGGTTTAAGTTCTGAAAAAAAAAGAATTTGATATAACAGGATTATTGTATAACGGAAAATATGTATAATTACTTCGAAAAAAATATAGAGGGAGATGAACTGTTTGATGTAACTGATGTTTATATATTCATAAATATCTTTCATATAAAAGTTTGTTGATATCCGAAATATTATAGCTGTGCCCGAGATAACGATAATTTCGCATGAGCATAATTAGTCAAATTAATTATAACGTACTTTAAATATCAAATTTTAATGTTAGCCACCCTCCCTCTGAAAAATCCTGGATCCGCCCCTGGATTGTTTGGATTGTCAATACAATATGATAAGGTTATGTCATTGTTTTCATAACAAGGTAAGGGCAAAGCATCGGCGATTATGCACAAGGAAGACGCAAATCAATAGTCTTCTTCAAGGTTACCTGCGCCATCTTGAAAGGTAGCCGTGCCTTTACATCAAAGCGAGACAACCGTGAATAACCTGTGAATAATTGTCTGTAGGTGTGAAAGAAGGTTTCTATCATTGCATGCTCAACGGTCGTCTCGCTTAGATGCAAAGGCACGGCTACTTTTCAAGATGGCGCAGGTAACCGTGAAGGAGACTATTGCATTGATGCATAAAATTAAATGCATCGATTTTTTTTACTTATAAAAATATGAGAAGACAGCACGTGTTGATCTCTAGAAGCCTTTATAATATTTTTGATGTATAACGCGCGCTCTGATTGGCTGACGACCGTGTTTATATCAGAGGACAGAGACACGGTTTACCGGCAAAATTTTGTTTTCGCTCGAAAGATTTTATGAAAGAAATGGAAAACGGCTGCTTGTGTCTCTGTCCTCTGATATAAACACGGTGGGAGTTGAAAAACACTCGAGAAGCAAGAGAAAGCTAAGCTTGCTTGCTCTCGTGTTTTTCGAACTCCCACCGTGTTTATATCAGAGGACAGAGACATGCGCGCCGTTTTATATTTCTTAATGACACGACGCATTGAACGTATGCATTGGAATTACAAATCCGTCTGACGCAACAGCTGAAACAACGAGGTTGACTATATGCAATTACATTCGACATTTCGTCTATGTAATAAGAAAAGAGGCATCAACCTGGCAGAGCCGGACCCGTACCCAGTCGTTACTCTTCATGTCTTTGGCGCCCGTAAAGGATCAAGGGAAGTCGAAAGAAAAAGTTTCTCTCCTGTAGTTCCGGACCTCCTTTGATGCACCGCGTCCCGTTAAACGAGTAAGAGAAACGACTGGGCGCGAGTCTGCGGTAAAGCGTCAATCATTTCAGTCACTATTCTTGATAACGACTATGTACTGCTGGATTTAGAATCATTAACGGAATATTGTTCTTTAAGGAGCTTTTTGCTCTTCGTAAAAAGCGCGTTCTCCTTACACAAGAGTAAGCGAACCTGAACAATGAAAACTAATCAAAGTAGTTACAACTTATAAACGGTTGGTAGGTATGCTCGACGGACCTTTTAGGGTCGAAAATAAAACCCTTGCGTACCTTTTAGGGTCCTGAGCCGAACAACGGGGGGGAAAATGGTGAGGAAACAAGGCGCAATGTAACCGGAGTAAAAAACGATAAATTTTAACACCGTATAAAAGCAGGTGAAACCACTTGCTGACATTTCGGCCTTTAATCCTTCGTCGATGGATTAACGTCCGGAACGTAACAAAGTTTTTTCACTTACTTTTTTTGCAGTGTTAAAATTCTATCTTTTTACACAACTGTTTTAGAAACACCGACGAAGCTCACGCAAGTTTACCGCTAGTTTTCACCAATGTAACAGAGCGCATGGGCGCTCGTGGAATAACTACCTTAAAAACTGCAAGAGCAATTGCTGGAAAAATGAAGACCCGTATACACTTTCGATTTTGCAGCGCGATTGTCTATCGTACACCTAAAATCGTACTTGTAAACAGCCATGCGATTGTTGCAGCTAAATTTCAAGCATGTTCGAAACTCAGGCGATTTTCGCGCGACAATATATCGCAAGTGTAAACGGGACTTGAGGATGGACTGTACAACGATGTTATAGTCTTATTTGCTGTATAGAGTTGCATGGGCGCACGTACAAGACGTGGGAAACTCCTTATAAAAGGGGATGGGGTTCTCATCTCAAAATTCTGAAACATGAGCCCTAAAAGATATCACTAGTGAAAATACCACATTCATGTTAGCTCTATACA